TCAATTGTATTTCAAAATGGCGTCCATCAACACAAACACTATTTATAGAAAGATAAATGGTTAAGTTTGTAATTAACAGTGTTGTGAGTTCAATATTTTAATTAATTATAGTAAGGGAACATAGGAGGATATATAATAAAGGTGTTAACTGCTGAGCCTATTTACTGTGCAATACTACAGACATGTTAGTGGTATTATTTCTTATCTAACTCTTTCCTATGGTCAGACAAATCAGAAGTCATTTAAACAATTTGAGATTGTTCTTTTTGTTTCTCAATTGATTTTCCAGAATATGCACCACCTAGGCAGACTTTATATCACAAATAAATGAATGACATGTACTACAGTAATTGATTATATTGATATTGCCTACTCAGATATAAATGTGTATAAAATGAAATCAATTCAAAGTTTCTTGCTGCTTTTAATGCAATTCATGGCTGCAGGGCAAACGTCCAAAATCCTTATTCTACAATCATTTAATCAAGACACTTGTGTATATTTTACTTTAATTTGTAATAAACAAAAAAATATGAATGGTTGTCATCAAGCTGGGTCGCCGGTAAGGCAGTCCATTCCTCCCTGTACTCATCACCACGACGCTCACACAGGTTATGCAATACGCAACATGCTGCCACCTGGATTTTGATATTGTCCATGTTGCAGTCGTTTCGCTTCAAGCACCGCATATCTGGAACACATACAAAGACACAAATTAGCCCGACATAACTCCATAAATCCTACATTAGATAGTATTAATGTGATTTACTGAACGTACCATTGCTGTTCTTTGGGCGTGATAACGGTCATCATCCTCAGCTGACGAAACATGTCCATAGCGTGTGCTTGTCGCCGTCCAGTCCTTTTGTTAAGGCTTCTTAACCGCGATCTGTATTTGTGGCTGAGTTATTGGCTTAAATAACTCAGCACCAAAACCACAACTTCAGTCAACTCCATAGCGTGTCTGACTGAGGTCGGAAGGTAAACAGAAGCATACAGCGGAAGCGGAAGTTTTCTTTCTTCTTCTCTCGGTTTTTTGGCGGATTGCAACTTTAAGGTGCATACCGCCACCTACTGTACTCGCCGTGAAGTTGTTTGCAGCCTGCCAGGAAAAGCTAAGCAGAAGAAGAAGAAGTGACGTCAGCGGCTCATTTGCCTAATCCCCCCCCAGGAACTCATTTTGGTGTGAACGCGATCTGCTTTAGTTCATCAGAACTAAAAGAACTCTCATGAACTAAAGTTCTCAGGAACTACTGTGGGAAAAGTACTTGGTGTGAACGCGCCTAATGTGGCTCATTTTGAGGGGAAAATAGTCAGTGTCTGGGACCTGATGGTGAGGACAATAAAGAGAGACTTAAGACTTCTGTCCATACACATGGGAAAAGAGGAGTTTGTGGGAGAATATGTGGAGGGATGTTCATTGATTGAAGAGGAGGAAGGAAAGTTAAAATTCAACTTTGAGATGCAATAAAGAGTATGTTTATTTTTGTTTTGGATGATGCTGGATCCCTGTAAAAGGGGATCTTTGTTGTAAAAAGAAAATGTGATAAAGTGTAAATATGTGATTTCTATAATAAAAGATTAAAAAAACACGCCCGATCTCATCCGATCTCGGAAGCTAAGGAGGGTCGGGCCGGGTCAGCACTTGGATGGGAGACCGCCTGGGAATACCCGGTGCAGTAAGCTTTTTATTTTCTTCCTTCATCGGCAGAGGTCCCTGCACATTCTTTTGAGGGTTAGCCAATCTCCAATCTATCATCCAATCATGATATTCCATTTCCATTGTGAGATTGGATCTAAGCCAATCACGTCACAGCATCGCAATGGACGGAGCCACTCACGTCACTGCTTCTCTCCGAACCCGCCCCCTACACCCTGTTGATTGACAGTGGTCCTTTTTTTTGTTTGGCTTTTAAATAGTTATTAAAATATCAATATTTGAGCAAATTGTTTATCAGAGCAATAGTTAACTTTGCATTGCTCTCAGTCTGTTTACAGCTGACTATGTTTTAAAAATGCGCTTATCCAGAAAAGCCTGGTTTGGACACTTTACGGGCAGAAGAAACATTTCTATTAAAGAAAGAATTATACATTTCTGTACATTTATGCCTATAATAGCTACTAACTTGAATTTTTATTAAAATTAATTAATCAATTATTTTTTATATTTTATTGTAATGTAGAGACAAGGCTTTTAGTGATATGTAAAAAAAAAAAGAAGAAGTCTAAATATGATATTTGGCCTCAAATCATCTGAGGCCTGGCGCCCCCCCTGCGATCTTTGGCGCCCCCCAGGTTGGGAACCACTGCCATAGACTGTATGTTTGTACACTGTACAGCAGGGGTGGGGAACCTCCGGCCTCCGGGCCGTATACGGACCGCGAGACCATTTGGTACGGCCCTCGAGGTAATTTATAAATACTTGCAAAAAAGAAAATAATTAAATAAATCTAGACCGCAAAATAATTAAACAAGCGAGTGCCTTTTTTTCCGGGCCAGGTCAGGGTCCTTGAACACAACACAAGCCTAACGTGTCATCACGTGGTATATGTCTCGTCTGACAGGGGTGTAGTTCTGCCGGAGAGCACCAGAATGCCGCTCCGGTGTTGTGTCAAATTATGCACCCCCTGGCCTGTCAAAAAAGCACCCCCCTAAAAAATATGCTTCTATTAATCCCACCCTCAAGCACTTTGGAGGGTATATTTGTAGGACTAGTACCAACTAGAGAATGCAATTCCTGAAGAAATTGCTAGTGGGAATGCTTTGTGCTGAAAAGCTGACGCTAAACTGCTATGCTGAAATGTAATGTGTAAGAAGAAAGTGAAGAATTTAGATAGAAATGATACATGAACACTGGGGGCTTGAATGTGTGATGAGAGAAGAAAAGAAAGTAAAAAGGCTTGGTAAAGCAGCAGAATATTTGAACTGCAAACTTTTGAACTAAGTTGATGGCGAATGATCTGTCGCCATGCCAACGGCATTTGATGACATCCCATAATACACTTAGATGCGTTGATGGCTGCATCATTACCAAACCTGTGAAGTTTTGGGCCGTTTGGAGCATTTTCACTGAAGTTATGAGAAAACCATGTTTCATGGCAAGCATTGTGTTGCCACGGCAACGGCATTTGAAGAAATCTCAAAACTGTCCCGTAGATGTCTTCACGGCTGGACTGTTAGCACACGTGAAGTTTGAGCACTTTTTGAACATTTTCATAGGAGTTATAGCGACATCGTGTTTTATGGCGAGATCTCAGATTTGGTGTCAAGCTTAAAACGGCATATGATGACACCCCATAATTGACGTAGAGCTGTTGAGGGCAGGACCATTAACCATTATCTGAAGTCTGCTGATCTGAGCATGTCAGTTGGAGTTATGACATCATCGTGTTCCATGACACAGGTGTTTATATTTGAGCTAACGACTGTCCAGAGATCAAAGGTTTCCATGGTGATGTGCAGTAATCAGTGAGAGGAGAGCATTTTCATTGTTCTGAATAATAATAATAATAATAATAGATTTATTTTGTTAGCGCTTTTACAGGTGCTCAAAGACGCTTTACAGATGTAGTGAAAATAAAAGAATAAATATACATAGTTAAAGTTAAAGTCAAATAATACAAAAACAATCACACATTAAAAGCCAGATTCTGTGAGTTTTCGTGAGTTTTTTGAAGGTGGTGAGGTCAGTGCAGTCTCTGATGGGTTGTGGGAGTGAGTTCCAGAGGGAGGGGGCAGCGACGGAGAAGGCTATGTCCCCCCCAGGTCCGGTGATTGGTGCGGGTGGGGATGGATAGGAGATTGGCTTCTGATGAGCGGAGGCAGCGGGAAGGGGTGTGGTGGTGCAGCAGGTCTGTGAGGTAGGGGGGGGCCTGATTGTTGAGGGCTTTGTAAGTAATCAGGAGGATTTTGAAGTCGATTCTTTGACGGACGGGGAGCCAGTGGAGGTTCTGGAGGACGGGAGTGATGTGGTCTCGGGAGCGGGTGTGGGTGAGGAGGCGGCAACAGAGTTCTGGATATGTTGGAGTTTATTGAGGAGGTTGGATGGTATGCCGTAGAGCAGTGGTTCCCAACCTGGGGGGCGCCAAAGATCACAGGGGGGGGCGCCAGGCCTCAGATGATTTGAGGCCAAATATCATATTTCTACATTTTTTTTGGCTTCTGTGTGAGGTTGGTAAAATAAGGTCATCCTTGTACGTTAGATAGTTAGTTTGCTAGTTAGGTTACTGTATGCATTGTTAAGGTTAATTTAAATTCGCTATGCTCTACTATAGCATAAAATAGACTAGCTAACGTCAACGTATTGTTGAAGAGAGGCTTAGTGTATATTAAATCAACCTCATAATGAAATGTGTGTATCTTTAAAATATGAACGTCACATTTCAAGATGGTCCAGAAATAACGCTCCCTTAGATATTGTAATATGGTTTGTTGAAATGGAGTTATTTATTGCAGCTAACCGCCTATCCGACGAACGACCCAAACATTGTTGTTTTTAATATTAGTACCAATGCCTCTTTTCATTTTATTATCATCACACTTGAGAAACAGCCTTATCTGTAGAACGGAACATGTAACTTAATGCCTGCATTTGATGAATAGCGTAGTCAATGCTTTAGTGACAAGGAAATGATTTGTTTAAATATTAGATATGACGTTATCTGTGACTTCAGTGAAAATTAAGCTTATCCATTGCATTGCATTTGTTAAATAGGTTTGTGTCTTACCCTTACGTGTGTGATACATATGAATATGGCATATGAAAACAAATGAATTTGACTGACTCATGAAAAACTCATCCAAAGTAACAGTAAAATAAAAAGGACCTACACAATAATACTCAATCAAACTGATAAGATACAGTATAAGGACTGTGATATCCCGCCATTTCTTAAGTATAACAATACGATTATGACCTGTTTTTAAAAGAAGATAAAAAGTTGTTTGCATGTAAAGAAGTCTGTAACCCACGCATGTAACTTTACATCTGTTTGTTAAAGTGTCCTTAAGGTGATCCAGACATGCTGGACCAGAGGAGGAGAGACAGATCTGGACTCCTAACAGCAGAGAACTTCAGCACGGATTCCAAGGTACATATACCTTTTTCATAATTTACAAAGAATGCATAAAGTTATTGGTTTTAAAAAATAAAGTAATGACTCAAATACACTGATATACATGCCATTAAACATGACTAAATACTAGATCACCTACACATCAGTGATGTTGAATGTACTTTCTTAGCAAAAGGTTACATTTACACTTTACAACATCACTTTTTTGTTCAACTTTCACATTTCAATGTATTTAAGGCAAATATTATTGAACATAGTGAAAGCGGCGACCCTTTGTCTCTGCATATTGACTGTAAAAAACATGTTAAAAGTGATTCTTTCAGTGAGACAACCGAAAATAGCAAGCTTCTACAGTTGCACTAAGTTTTGATAACAGTTAAATATTATTTTAATAATACATTTATTTCAATGTTGATGAATTTAGAACGGTTTATTCATAACCTGATTGTTCATTCATTACACTGTTGAATTTAAAAAACACATTCAAATAAAAAAATCGTTATATTTATAGCCCCTGAACAAACAAACACACCTCTTTCTTAAATAACACACTTGGTCTGCAATAATATGTTTTTTGATATTTCTGTTAGGAAAGGACATGCCTGAGAGACAGGACTGCTTCACCATTTTCTCTTTCTCCGAGGGTCCAGAAGAACATCCAAGAGGGAAAGGAAAAGCTGATGTCATGAGATTTAAGACCAGTACAGGACATTCACTAAGAGACACTTATATTGTAACACAAAGACCTGCACACTGAATAGTTTTGTAGTCTAACAAATAAAACTTGATTTGATTTGAACAGGAACTTAATTTTTGTGTTGTTTTGTGTTTTACGTTGCACCTCAGAGACAGTGTGATTATTGTCAGGCCTATAAAGTTTGGCAAAAAAAAAAGTCAGCTGATCAAATGCATTTGCCTCACTTTATGAGCTTCACAATACTTGTGCCTTGTACCACAGAGTTTGCAACGTCACAAATAAATGGTGCCAATCTTCAGTCAGATGTGAATGTGTAATTTAACATTTTCAGTAAGATTAACGGACAAAAGGAGTACATATACAATGTGAACTAAAAGTTATCAAGCATGAACCATCACAATTTTTTTAAATAAAACGAAATAATATACATAAGTTACACTAAATGTTAATCTGTTAATTGATTAAGTAAACACATTTGGTCAAATAAAGTGACAGGCTAGGCCTGTGCAGGTGGTAACAGCTGTGCCCAGCATGGGCTAAGTTCTGTAGGTGCAGCTGGTGCAGGTCCTCCTCCCTCAGGCCTGGTCCTCCTCGCAGGGAAAGACCCTCAGCCCTCTCTGGCCAAACCAACAGACAGGACGTTCATAAAGCTGAGGTTTCCCCCAAAGTCTCTAATCACCCATCCTGTGAATATGAGAGGGGAACAAATAGTGTAATAGATGCTTTGGACAATAAGAAATATAAAGTTAACTGTTGAGTTGCTCAGATTTTAAGATTGACAATGCTACTACTGTATTACTAATATCTCACATCTGAGGGTTTAATAATACAAAAAAAAGGAGAGGCACCGTAAAATAAAGATTGGTCTTTCAATAAATTGTGTTGATTTTGTCTTTTGAATTGTTTGTCTAAAGTCAAGTAGCTAGAACTGTTACTTATAGTTTGAATGATAGTCTGGTTATAATGTTTGGAGGAGGCATCACAGGTAAGAGCACCATTTGTTGTGTTGCATCCACAACAAATGCACACAGATTGATGTGTGTGTATTTATTTATCTACTATTTCTTGAATCATTACTGTCAGTCCAAAACAAGAGATTTTGTTTTAGTAACTTGTTTTTAAAACATTATCTCTTTTCCACTACACTATCTTGAATATTTTAGTTTTTACATCACTACATTTATCTAACAGCTTTAACATTGTAAAGGTGTCACTTCGGACTCTGGGTAATTATGACAGCATGTCCTACTATTTTGAGAGTTTGAACAAACCAGACCTTCATCTATTAATGTAGAAAATAATCAGCACATTAAAGGTGGGGTACACTGTAAAAAAAAAACTCGTAAAAAAACGGTCAAAGTACTGGCAGCAGCGGCTGCCAAACAAAAACCCTTAAATTAAAGTAAAATACTTTAACTGAAATAAAGTGAATAAGCCATTAATTTACGGGAATTGTCCTTAAATATTTTACAGGAAAACACTGTAATTTTACAGATTTATCCTCTCTTTTTACAGTCAATAACCTTTAATAAAAGTACATTACTAATACTTTAACGTACAAATACTCTAATTTTACAGATTTATCCTCTCTTTTTACAGTCAATAACCTTTAATAAAAGTACATTACTAATACTTTAACGTGCAAATACTCTAATTTTACAGATTTATCCTCTCTTTTTACAGTCAATAACCTTTAATAAAAGTACAGCACTAAATCTTCTACGGGCAAAAAACACGTAAAAAAACGGTCAAATGACTGGCAGCAGTGGCTGCCAAACAAAAACCATAAAATTAAAGTAAAAATACTTTAACTCAAATAAAGTGCAAAAGCAATTAATATACAGAAATTGTCCTTAACGATTTTACAGGAAACTTTCCTCTCTTTTCAAAATCCATTGTCTTAAAATGTTACATTCAAATACCTTAAATAAAGTTCGGATGAGAAAAACTGTTTTTTACATTTTTTTTTATTAGATTTGTATGATCAAACACTAAAATAAATACAGAACCTAAAGTTCTACAGGTAGAATACTGTTATTTTACAGCTTTTTTCTAACATTTTCCAATCAAAGACATTCAATGAAAAGACATCACAAAATGTTCTGTCGGAAACAATTACTCTGAAAACTTAAAATATGAAAACTAATGAATACAGCATTTCATATTTAAACATCATACTTATAAACAGTAGAAACAAAAAGTAAGTTGAATTTTTTTAAGAGTACTTTGAAACATTCTCAACTGAAAATAACAGAAATTACAAAATGGCAACATATGTTCACATTGTCAATTTGAAGGAGCAGTGTGCAGGATTTAGTACGTCTAACAATGGGGATGTAGGTTCCAACAAATGGATAACTTGTTCACTCACCCTCCTATCCCAAGTTTGTAGAATGTATATTGGCTGCAAAAAACTTGAGGCCCAATCATGTTTCCTCTGTCCATTCTGCGCTACTGTAGACGTGGCAGTGCAACCTAGAGGACAAAAAGATCAGAATCAGAAACAGGTTTTTCACACGTATGAGGAATTTGACTAGGTGTCGTACATACACATATAAATAAAAAAAATTAAATAAAAAAAAGTACACAGATAGCGAACTATATTAAGAACACTGTAATAAAAATATAGTAAGATAGCAATAAAATAAAGCAGTAATATACATCGAAATAGAATGCAATAAATTATAGAATATAAAATATGTGCACTAAGCAATATTTAAACATTGCATTATTTACCATCCTGTGATCTCCATTATGTAATGCATAGAGTCTGCGTTGTGGATGAGGTAAAGTGTCAGTGGGGGGGCCTTGTTGAGGTGGCGAGAGGTTTTGGTCCTGGTGGCGAGAGGTTTTGGTCCTGGTGGCGAGAGGTTTTGGTCCTGATGGAGAGAGGTTCTGGTCCTGATGGAGAGAGGTTCTGGTCCTGATGGAGAGGTTTTGGTCCTGATGGAGAGAGGTTTTGGTCCTGATGGAGAGAGGTTCTGGTCCTGATGGAGAGAGGTTCTGGTCCTGATGGAGAGAGGTTCTGGTCCTGATGGAGAGAGGTTCTGGTCCTGATGGAGAGAGGTTCTGGTCCTGATGGAGAGAGGTTTTGGTCCTGATGGAGAGAGGTTCTGGTCCTGATGGAGAGAGGTTTTGGTCCTGATGGAGAGAGGTTTTGGTCCTGATGGAGCGCAGCCTCCTGCCAGAGGGGAGGGGGGTGAACAGTTTGTGTCCAGGGTGGGAGGGATCGGCCACTATCTTTCCTGCCCGCCTCAGGGTCCTGGAGGCATGCAGGTCGTGGAGGGATGGCAGATTGCAGCCTATCACCTTCTCTGCAGAGCGGATGACACGCTGCAGCCTGCCCTTATCCTTGGCTGTGGCTGCAGCGTACCAGATGGTGATGGAGGAGGGGAGGATGGACTCCATGATGGAGGTGTAGAAGTTCACCATCATCGTCTTTGGCAGGTTGAATTTCTTCAGCTGCCTCAGGAAGAACATCCTCTGCTGGGCTTTTTTGATGAGGGAGCTGCTGTTCTGCTCCCATTTGAGGTCCTGGGCGATGATGGTGCCCAGGAAGCGGAAAGACTCCACAGCAGTGACTGGGGAGTCACACAGAGTGATGGGGAGTCATACAGAGTGATGGTGAGCCACACAGAGTGATGGGGGCGGGCGGGGCTGCGTTCTTCCTAAAGTCCACAACCATCTCCACTGTCTTGAGAGCGTTGAACTCCAGGTGGTTTTCCCCACACCAGGTCACCAGATGGTCCATCTCCCACCTGTAGGCAGACTCGTCCCCACCAGAGATGAGTCCGATGAGCGTGGTGTCGTCTGAACTTCAGGAGCTTGACAGACTGGTGACTGGAGGTGCAGCTGTTGGTGTACAGGGAGAAGAGCAGAGGGGAAAGAACGCAGCCTTGAGGGGTACCGGTGCTGATGGTCAGAGACGCGTTTCCCCAGCCTCACGTGCTGCTTCCTGTCTGTGATCCACCTGCAGCTGGGAGAGCTTGTCCTGCAGCAGAGCTGGGATGATGGTGTTGAAGGCAGAGCTGAAGTCCACAAACAGGATCCTGGCGTAGGTTCCTGCTGTGTCCAGGTGCTGGAGGAGGAAGTGAAGTGATAACTATTAGTAAACCATAATGATGGATGTTATTATCAGCAGCTGCCAATAGATCCCCTAAATCTTGTATGATGGACACATGGACACACACACACACACACACACACACACACACACACACACACACACACACACACACACACACACACACACACACACACACACACACACACACACACACACACACACACACACACACACACACACACACACACCACACACACACACACACACACACACACACACACACACACACACACACACAACACACACACACACACACACACACACACACACACACACACACACACACACACACACACACACACACACACACACACACACACACACACACACACACACACACACACACACACACACACACACACACACACACACACACACACACACACACACACACACACACCAGAGTTCCCGTTAGCCGGTAATTACCGGACAATGACCGGTAAAATATGCTGAAGTCCGGCAAATCTAAATCTCTCCGGTCAAAATGTCCGGTCAAAATAATTTTCCCTTAGCGCAATACCGCATCAGTTGCGCCACTTATGTGACAGACAAGAATAGTATGTGACAGACAAAAGAGTATGTGACAGACAAAAATTGTCAATTCTAATGTCTAACACTTAATGTGGAGAAAGAGATGTCCTGTATGGGTTGATTGTGCGTTGATCTGTTGGTAATGCCTCGGGGTTCCGGTGGGCATGTAAACAAATGCATAATGCTGCGCTATACTTTGTGGCCTCATCCGGTTGCATAGCGACGCTTATTGTTTAGGTGTCTTTTAACAAGCAGGTAGTCATATCATTAGCTAGAACTAGCTAGATCTGATCGATATGGACATAAATGCGAGTAAAGTCTAATCTGACAGGAGAGAGAGATCGGCTGCTGCTGACGAGTCGACACGCAGCTCTGCATGATCCCCTGCAGCGGCGAGCAGAGCAAAACACACTTCAGGTTAGAAAATCACACGTAGCTATTTTAATTACCTCTCAAACTACCTAAACTAGTTATAGATATGTTTAGTTTTACTGTCGGGGTCACTCATTACTGGATCCGCGAGCTGCATGATACTGACG